TTTAGTGATGTTTAAACTTATCTGACAAATGGAATTCTTGTTACATTTTTTTCTGTGATTTCTTGAGTGTTAATGGAAGAAATGGTAGGTCCCATATATATCTTATCATTCATATTATCTTCACAATAAGCCCATGAGGTAAGGCTCCAAAATCATCCCTAGTTTAAAATTGATGAAACAGAAACATAACCAAGATACTTAATTTTTATGATGTGATATTAAACTAAGATTTAGAAAGCTTGAGACATATTAAACTAAGATTTAGAAAGCTTGCAATATCTTAGATTGGCAGACATGGTAATTAATGAAAGTGGTACTCCTATCGGGCAAGATAGCTTCAAAGCCCATCATCTAACAGCTATAATACCCCATTCTATTGATTAATTCATGAAGTATTGGGGAAGATGAAGACTAGGATAGTTAAGTCCCATCTAAACAATTCTTCAATGACCTGATAAACTTACAGATTACAAAATTAGTTGGAATAACCTTGCTTGTTAAAGTGAAACAGAGTTATTTCTTACCACTTGTTTGGTTTGGTGCTTCTTTCTTCTTTAAGAGTTACTATAGTCATCTGTTCATGCGTGAAGTTGTGCCTTGTCATGTTGACTGCCTTATTATTTTACAGCCAGGTTGCCCAATCCTACATAATTACCTCAAGACAACCCTGAATCCATATATAATCAACGTTACCCTAGCAGCCAAAATGTGCAGCCAAACACTTTGTGAGGGAAAAGGTGCGTGTTCAAGGAAAAATGAAAGTTCAGATGTATATCTTCACTTGAACCCAAGTCATTTAAGTATTGAATTAACGAACAATTCAAAGTATGAAATCCGTGGCAACCCCACAATTGGAGACCTGGAGTATTTTTACAAACATTTTCAATGCAGCTGCTTTACCAACATGAACTGTAAGGAAAACTCTGAAATAGAAGACATAGAAGATGTTAATGTGTGCACAGGTGACAATGTTTGTATAAAGGCCGAAGTAGTTGACCTAGCATCCTACCTCCTACCTGGCAAAAGCCTTCTCTTTCTGATAGCACTCATGCACATACTGCTTCATCTGCCAGAAGATATTTTTCTTTTTCTGGGGAAGATGCTCATTGGTGCTCCTTAGTTCTCTCTACCCACAGCATTTGTTGTACTTTTTAAAAGTGGGCCTCAGTCATTTGAAAATGTAAGATGGGATTCTATTTTGAAAAAGTAATTCTATTTTAATAATCAAGATTCTATTTTTGAGTTTCAAAGGCAAAGTATCTATTCTTCTACCAAAGACTGATTACAAGCAAGGCTCTGCTGCATTTGAATTTAAATTCTTTGAGAATGAAGACTGAATAAAATAAAATTACTATAAATTAATGTTGTCTTAGTAGTCTGTCATTGCTTAAAAAATGATCAAGCAAGTAATAAGATGAAAACTTCTGCTGTTTAAAATGGAATGCCTCAAGTGTGCTAGTCTGTCCATTTATACAACTATGGTTTTTAGCTACTTCATGTTGAAAAGTTTTTATAACTGTTTTGTGGAAAGCTCAACTTTAAAACTGATAATTCTGTTTTGGTATATAATTTAGTATATTTTCAGAATTTACTTTTATAAAGTACTCTAATTTCCTTCTCATTCCTGATTGTCAAGTTTAATTTGCATACCTGAGGTGACTTATTTCACCAATCATTCACCCACCTTATAGAGTATTTATGGAGTGTTATCACTCAGAACTGCTGGGATGATATTAGTGAATTAACTTCCAAATGTTGTTTTCCAGTTAATGAGAAGTGTTGCCTTGCCAACTGCAGTTCTGCAGTTCGCATTCATCTGATAGCAGAAGTGATAGCGGAAATGGCGTCTCATGTCTTATCAATTTCTTTCTTAAATAGTAATTCAGTGTTTTGTATTCAGTCTTACTGAATCTAAATGAAGTAGTGTATTTTTTCTATCAGTGAGCTTGCTATGTATTTGAAGATGAAAGAAATGCATGTTGACAAGACAACAGAGTGCATTTTCCATGTTGTGACAAATTTAAGGTGCTCTGATTTGCGAAGAAGAATTTGGTGTTGTCTAAGGTTCCTGAAGGAGATTATGTCAAATTGCTTTAGGAGGTTAGTAGTTACTGTACAAAAGAGAAAGAACTTCAGAAAGAGGAGGCATGAAATACACTGTCAAGTGTTGTGAAAAGCAATGACTAAATGACTAACTTTTGTGACCCACACTGTGAATTTGGGACTTTACATGGCAGATACTCCTACTTCTTTAAGTGTGCTCCATTTCCTTGACTCACACATAACGACATGACATACTATTTTTACTCCACACTGCTCTCCTAATATAAGCACCACAACGTCAGGGGTATGATCTCCTTATTACAACTACATCTATGTTGTGACAAACAGTACCTGAGACTTCAGATTAGCCCACTGAATAGTGACTGAATAAAAACTATTAGGGACTTAATGCAAGATTTTGAATTTGAGATCAGTTATGACCAATTTACTCGACTTGAAGCTGTAGCTTCCACTGCTATCATGATTCTATTTTCAATCTTAACGATGTCTTTATCAGTTAGTTATTGAAAAGAAAGAATTTGACAATGACTGGAATGGTCAGGATATATGGACTGGTTTACCGGAATGTGAAGTAAGATGGAGTTGCAAAAGCAATACAAATGATCCAAATTATTAGGTTCTTAATCTTTTTCAACACTGGAAATAGATTCTCTCATGAAATACATCCCATCCACAGTTCCTCTCCTTCCCTCTCCTCCTAGCTCTCCCCTACCTCCTCTCTCCTTCAGATCCACACCCCCTTCTGTTTATTTTCCATAAAAGAGCAGGCCCCCAAGAGACAACAGCCAAACAGGACAAAAGAAGTTACAATAAGACAAGGTCAAAGCCTTCACATAGAGGCTTGACAAGACAACTCAATAGGAAGAAAAGAGTTGCAAGAGCAGGCAAAAGAGTCAGAGATACACCCCACCCGCTCCCACTTACAGGAGTCCCAAGCTAGGAGTCCTAACAAATATTAAAACATTTACTTAAAATATTAATTTTAAAGGAATCACAAACCTAAACTTTTATGCATGAAAAACAACCAGTCAGTTCTATTTTAAATCTTTGGGGTGCATACCCACTCATCAATAGTTTTTTTTTTATATCAGGAGATTGAAGGTAGAAGTGGGCATAAGGAATGAATCATCACCTTTGGTCATCAACCAATCCTAGGAAGAAAGGCAGGTCAGCTAATGATAATTGGGCTGCTTTGTTCTTGTTCCCTGACCTTAAAGAGTTCCTCATTTAACGATGTACCTTTCTAAAACTTTAGGTTGTCTTTTTGAGTTTTTCCCCTCAAAGCTACTTAACAAAAACATCTTAGTCTAACTTTATTTTCAAAGCTATGATGCACTCTGAAACCTGTGAACACATCTCCCAACATTAGCATTAAAAGATTTTAAGCTAGCTGGGCTACTGGGACTCAATTTTTTTTCTTAATCATTAACCTAAGCCACAGTCTATATGACTCCTCAATAGAAACTCACATGGTCTAGCTGTGTGACACTTCCTTATTTATATTTCTAATAATCAAAACTCTATTTAAAATAACATTATTATTATCCTTAGACAAAACACCTTAGGAAGAAATCATCTTCATAATAATCCACAGGTAAAAATGCCCAGTAGAACAAGATGTATCCATGGGATAAGTACACTACATTACAGGAAGTGGGGATCTCCCACACGCACTCACACCATGCCAGATACCAGAGAATGATAGCAATAGCAAATATGTAAAGGCACAGCAGAAGCAAAAGACATTCTGGAGTCTGTGTTTGTGGGGCCTTGCCTAACTGAGATTCACCTTTCAGGGATTTTCCTCCTGGTGGGCTGACACCCGGAACTTCAATTTCCACTTGCTGCTCCTGTGACATGGCCATCAGCAGGCATGGACTCCCTCTTGTGGAGTGGGCCTCAAAGTAAAATCAGACATTGGTGAGCTACTCTCAAGTTATGTGCCACCATTGTCCCAGCACATTTTGCAGGCAGACAAATTGTATCATTACACACACACACACACACACACACACACACACACACACACACACACACACACAAGGATTAGTTTCTGTTGAAACAAGTTTAATGAAAAGGAAGAAGGAAGGAAGCTCAAGCATAGACTGGAGCAGCCCCAATAGTAGAGACAGCAGAGCAAGACTCCCATGCACTGAAGTAACCCCAGTTAGAACCACCTTTCCAACTCATCCACCTGGAGAACCAGCTGTGGTTCTACCAGGTCCACTGTGATTGGCTCAGGAAGACAACCTGGTCGATGCCAAGTTTGAGATCTGGGATCACAATCACTTTGGCATCATCACAAACTTCCAATTAAGATGCTTCTGTGGGTTTGAAGGTGGAATGGGGGCTGTTGGGGATAGGAACAGAGGTATCAGGTAAGGGTAGTAGGGATGGAGCAGAGAGTACTGGGAAAGATGGCTGGTAGAGTTGGGCCTTTAGATGACTGTATGGAAACATTGCAGTAGATACTTTGTGGAATCTGTGAGGTTGACCCTAGTGAGGATTCTTAGTAATGGAGCTTATGGAGCCTGAGCCAGCCATCTTCTGTAACCAGGCTAGGGTTCCAGTGGCAGGACTTGGACACCAACCCAGTCACAAAATCTGACCCACAACCTGATCTGCCTGCAAGATGTGTTGGGGCAATGGTGAATCAGAGCACATGGGTATCTTTATGATCAAAGGTATGATGGGTAGCCAAATGGGGTGGCATGATGTAAAGTGAGCATTCAGGAGCTGGAGTAGGGAGATTTCAATAATGTTGAGGCCAGCCTTGGCTACCTCATGACTATCAGGCTAGTCAGAACTATTACAAAACCTGATCTCATAACACACACACACACACACACACACACACACACACACACACACACACACACACAGAGAGAGAGACAGACAGAGAGACAGACAGACACAGACACAGAGGAGAAAGATGGCTTAGCACCAGCATTCATCGGTCTTTACTTCTTGAGTATGGTTGCAGTGTATTCAGCTGTCTCAAATGCCTTCTCCATCCTAGTGGACTTCCCTGTAACTGTAAACCAAAGTAAACCCCTCATTAAGAATTTGTCAGGCACTTTTTGGTAGTAACAAGGAAAGTAATTACTACATATAGTAACAAATGAACTCTGAAATGTGTGTGGTTATGGTAGGCAATAATTCACCTGCAACTTAATGATTAATTTATATCGTCACACCATGTAGCACTGTTGGATCACAGTCAGTGATGATGATTTTTGCTGTTGGGTATATCTATCTTTCTCATTGACAAAGTATAAATGTACAGAGAACATAGATCACACATCTACAGTGCAAAGCATTTTCACATTGAGATTATTTTGATGAGGACCTAGTCTCTCATCAAAGTTAGTTATTCTTTGACTCTATCTCCCTACATGAGTTTTACTGCTCTACAAATGTGTTTATATAAAATTATCGTGTGTACTGTTTTGTGTCTGCTTTCTCTCCTCGGTATAATTTTTGTGAGATTTCACTTACACTGTTTTGGTAATAGCTGGTTCATTTTAAATATTGAATAATACTTAGTATGTGAATGTTGATTTACATAACAAGTCATTCCTAGTTCATTTAGAGACTTGTAGAGAACCAGTTGAAGAACACCTGTAACAGTGCTAGTCCAATCAAGAATTTCCCCTGAGTCTGGAAGCTTGCTTTTTCTTTCTTAGCAGTCTTGTGTGAAGAACAGATACCCTCTTAACTCCTTCATTCTTCCACTCTTCCTTTTCTGTTTTTTTTTTTTATTTTTTGCTTCTAGGGGTTGAACAAAGGGAGTCATATATAATAAGGTAAGTATACACTTTTACCCTGTCTCAGAAGTTCATAATTTTAATATAGTTTCATTAATGAGGTTTTCTTTTTTTCCTCTGTAGTGTTCATGTGTTTTGTCCTACTTAAAAATCTTTGCCTGGACCATAGCCATTTGTGTGATCTAGATGACACCATGGTTATCTTCATTAGCTTCACTGTTTTACATCTCATGTTTAGAACTATAGTCTACCTAGAATTTATTTCCCTCAGATGAAAAGTAAGGCATCTCTCTGAGTATATAATTTAACTAGCATCATCTGCTAACAGCACCACTACTCTACAGTGTCACCTTACTTTTTAAAGAACACTTTTTATTGGTATACTGTTTTTAATTTAATCTTTCCCTCTTTTTTTGATGGTGAAAATCAAGTACCAGGCCTTGTGCTTGCTCACAAATGCTCCATTTTCAACTTGTACTTCCTACTGCTTGTTACAAGTTTAAATATAACAACACTAGGCAAATTCAGTAAAAGCTGAGGAAAAGATCCATTTCCATCACATATATATATATATATATATATATATATATATATATATATAATTTATTTATACAGATATTTGAATCCTATAATGAAAGATTTCTCTGACTTTTTTTTCTGGTAGTGTAAATTTGTTTTTAAGGTACATTTAAAAAGTTCTTAAACCAAAACCATTACAAGATTTGATTTTGGATTTCTGCCATGGTATTAAGAAAACAGCTTAAATTGCTTCTTGTTTTACTTTTATCTTTTTGAATAATTGTCAGGGAGTGAAAGGGAAATGCTTGAGGTCAAATGTCCTTCCCAAGGTCAAATATATTTTTGCTGGAAAGAAATCTGGACTTCTATAAAAAGAAAATAAAAACCCAGACTTACCATGTGGGAATGAGGCAGAAAAACACTTAAGGTTTCTGCATTATTGATATAAATTCTTTAAAAAGTTTTCACTTTCAAGGTGCAAGGAAATTGTTCCCTCTGTGTTGATGCCAGGCTACCTGCTGAACAGTGATGGAATCACTGGATTTGGAGCCGTGACTGTCTCCTTTTTCATGCTCTCCCACTAAATTGATTCGCAACTCTTCATTTTCTTTTTATATAAATAATTGCTTTAGATCAGCAATTTATAGAGGTTTTGAGGGGGTCCCTGCAGCTGTTATACAGGGGAAGCAAACCTCAAGAAGATAATTAAAGCCTGGTTGGTGCAGATTGACTTCATCAACTAGGATCAGACTTTGGGGAGTCTAATACTTGGTCATTCATTGTCAGCATATTTAAAACACAGAACAATATGAGAAAATATTTCCAGGCAACAAGTGGTCTAATCAGTCCAATTCCATGTGTACAATAAAACTTAAGGTGTGACTACATAGAAACCCTTTTACAAAGTACATGTGACCATAAGGGTGGGTTGTACAGCTAAAAGGCCTAGAATTTAGTGTGGTCTCTGACCAATAGCAGCCATTAAGTACTTGTGATATCTCCCCTAAGAATGGTTAATAGTCTAGAGGGGGAAGAGTCTGGGATAATCATTTTGGGGAATTTGGGTGAGGTCTGCTTATACAGCAAAAGGTGGGTGATGTCTGCCTCCATAGATAATAAAAAGGCCACCAGATGGAATTCAGATATTTGATTTGTATCTCCTCCACTCAGGAGACAACATTCCTGGTCCTCTTGGTGTTTCTTTGTGAGTATAAGGACCTCTGTTTCCCCAACATCTCTTCCCTTCTAATTTTTAAAGAAAAAATAATGGCTATAATAGAGGGCAAGGTTGAGTTCATCACCTCTATAGCTAGTATAATTGATACAAGCAAGCATGAAAGGATTATAAAAGTAGCTAACAGAGGACTGAGGAAAGGGGAAAGCTGGGAAAGCCATCCTTAATTCACCCGTCTCTCAATTAATTTCAGCTAAGACTGCACACGAAACAAAACTGTGAACAATATCAAAGCATAACAGTTTCATGGACAAAGAACTTGCTGGAAGGTCTTAGTTTTTACTACATTCTGTAGACAGTTTGATGTAATAGATTTTCAAGCTGTACCAAAAATATTTTTAGGTGAAAACTTCAAAATAATCCAATTTTTATTGATTATCCTTTCGGTTAAATTCTTTTTAACCATCAAGGGGATTTAAGTAACATGCAATTATGCTTGCATTTTTTTTACACTTTATCAGTCCAATTTAAGACTTTATTACTTTTTAAAGATTCCCATCAGCCTCTAACACCTTGTAAAGGTGGGTTTGTAGACATTGGCTAGTATGGAGGCCAAATAACATTGATTTGTTGCAGTATCTAGAATGTCTCTAAAGGGATAGTTTTCTACATAGAAGGTCAGCAATGAATGTCTGTCCTCTGAAAATGGTTTTTTCCACAAAGCTAAGAAATTTAATTCCATTGTACTAGATGCTATTGTTCCTCTTGAATGACTGGATATTGTTCTTGAACCTGATTTATTTTTTGTTGTCTGGGTTGATTTTGCATTTTGTTCTGTGGCTGGGAGTTGTCCCTTTGGGAAGTTAAAGGCTTACCATCCTTATCAAATTTGGATCTAAATTCTTTAGTCCAGTGTTTTTCCTTTTTTACATCATCAGCAAAGATGAAGGGCTGGATTATTAGAAATTTTATATTCATTGTTCCAATGCCCTCAGTTCCCACATTCAAAGCAAGGTCTGAAGCATCTATCTAATTCTAATTATTTTTTTTAATAAATAAAAACACAGGAGTCAGATGTTGGGGATAAGAACCTGAATAATCAGAGAAGCAGAAAAGTGGAGAAGCAAACAGTGATCTCCTCTTTTTCTCCATCCTTGATCCAATAGGGTACAAATTCTTTCTAAAGCCCTCCCTACTACTTCATCTGTCTCTCTATATGTCCTCAGTCCTCTAAAACCTCTACAGTTAATTTTGGTCAGCTAGTAGCTAGCTCTGCCCTCTGATTCAAAGTAAACTTCATCAACAGTCTCAGGAGTGTCAGAACGCAATCAAAATATTCCATAATATTTTCTTCTTTTTGTTTAAGCAAAACAAAGGAGGGTTTTAACTCTAACACAGTGAAGCTATGTATAATAAGAACAATTATCAGGTAAGAATTACATCCACAATGTCCAGTCCATTTGCATTTGGCAATTTCAGAGAAAATACTCCATTATCATATCCTATCTTGGTGAGTCCAAAGTTTTGTACCTAATTCACTTTCTATCATAACTTGTGTTGCCAATCCAAAACTATCTCTTTAGATCTCACAACACTTTCTTAGTTAAACAATTGAAGCTTTCATGTCTCTCCATCTTATACACTTTATACCTGTTCGGTGAGTTTCTTTTCTGAATTTGGTAACAAGGAAAAACTGTAACTATAATGATCTATTCTTCAACACCATCACAGACCTGAGAAGTATATACTATTACCTGAGTAAACAGGAAGTGCAGAGCAAGCAACTTCCAAAATAGAAATAACAGAAGTGGCTGGCTGCCTGGACAGTTAACCATGGTTCCTCTACAATGTTGGGGCATCCATCTTTGGCCTACAGGCCTAGAAGACTTTTCTGTGAAGCAGAAATTTTGAATGACTGTCCTATCTTGTCATGTTAAAGTTTGGTGGTTGCTTTCTTTTGTGTACACTCTTCCAATTTGGCTAGCAAAATGTCAGCAGTCAAGGCAAGAGAAGTTTCTTGCCCAGTGGCTAAAGTTTCCACAAATGAAAGCAAACTCCTTATGGACGTTCTTGGATGCCCAACCATCTTTTTTTGACTTAGATTGATGCCGCAAGGAGCAGATGTGTCTCACTCTTATGATAAGCCTTATATTATTAAAACATCTTAAATACCATATCCTGTAGATCTTTGAAGTGTTTGAAGACAAAATTTCTATCTAAAATATATCTGTTTGACCTTGAAAACATACCTAACATAGCCACAAATTTGTTAGATGATTAACTACTAAACCTGTATTTCTTAATTATCCTAAATAGTTTGTAATAATAACTTTCAAGGACTAGAAATTCACATTATATTTTTATTGTTAAATGAACTGCTTAGGTACAATACCTTAAAGAAAAGTAGAAATTATATATATATATATATAACAAAAATAACCTTAAATTTGTATCAATATACAAAAATACCTTAAAACAAGAGTAGAAACATATATACAATATAACAAAAATAACCTTGTTTGTCTCAATATACAAAAATCTATACCAATGTAAAATACTTAAGACTAGTAGTTG